GGATCCTCTTCCACACTTGGCACCCGCGGTACCTCCCACCCCTCAGCTTCTGATCTTCTCTCTCCCTCTCTTCCTCTCTCACAACAAGCTCGAATTTTCCCCTTTTCTTTTTTCCCCCGGGGATTCTTGAACTACTACAGCCTATTCGCCAATGTCTCTATGCCTCCACCTGTGAACCTGCGTTGCTGCTCTTCCTAATGCTCTGCGCTTCTTCCGCTTCTTCCCTATTGAGATGCAATGCGCCAGGCTCGTTGATTCGAATGCGGAGTACTTTGCGACATTGACATCGATGGATACGACCCGAAACCCTTCTATTTACCTGAATCGTAAGCAGCTGCCTTGGGGGCACTCTCAATGTTCTTCTGTGTGATTTTATTTGATCTGGATCATATGTGTGGGAACCGACGCTAATCTGCCCGGTACTTATGACAGCATTCGACTATTTGTTCATTACATACATTCGAGACCAAAGACGGCCTGATCTTGTTTCCGTGTCTAGCCTCACGCGCTTGATATACGAGAGCGCAAATCTCCCAACCCATAACAGCCTCGCAGGACACTTGCACGTCTCGGGACTTTGGCGACTGCTGCCGGTCAATTTCCCGCGAAGCCTCAGCAAGTTGGTCGCAACATTGGGACAACCTGAAATCTGTCATTGAGCAACGTCTCTAGGATTTGTTGCAACCATAGCCGTTGTCTGCCCCGATTAATCCGCTTGCGCCTCGACTACTCCCAAAGATTCCACCATCCTGCCTTATCGTCTCTTGGTGCAGTTCGATCCATCTCGCAGAGCGAGGTTCGACCTCCACCTTCTCTCACTCCTTCAATTTCCCGAGGCAGGTCCTTGTGGATAGACCTCCCAGCACAGTTTTTGTTTTCCTTTCTTGATACCCTGATAGTCCCAATACCAGCTTGAGTTGCCTCTATCGTCACAGTCTACGCCATTTTACAAACCCGACACTTGTTATCAAACGGGCAAGAATGCAAGGTTATTCATTTGCGCCCCCAACGGGCCCCCCGAGAGAAGGCCAGAAAAGTATGACCCTCAAGCACCATCTATCCCTTACACATTTCATTGACAACTAACCATTCATCGGTGTAGACTATGTGTTCGTTGATGAGCATAACCGACATAAGAGGCTGAAGGGTAGGAAAAGCGTCCATCGCAAGTCAACAAAAACATACTGACAAGCCTGACGTTTAGTGATGCGAGCCTGTAACGGTTGCCGGAAAAGGAAAATCAAATGTGATGCGGCTACGACAAATACGTGGCCTTGTTCTGCATGCACTCGTCTAAAGCTAGTCTGTGTCCCTCCGACCATCGGGCAAGATGGGGACTTTCTCCCTGATGGCCAGGGCGAGTCGACTCTAGAGACCGGAGGCCCCTCCACCGCAGCCGAGGGTTCTCATACATTTCCAGCGGCTCCGGTCTTCAAGGACAACAGTCAACCAACCATGAATACTATCCCCCCATATGATCAAATGAGCATGTATTCCCAATTCGTCCCTCCTCAGGCTCAACCCAACATCTATAACGATCTTCAGTCACCACAAATGACAATGTCACACCAGACTTTCCAACAGTCTCAAATGTTTCCGGGGCCGCAAACTTCGTCCATGGGTCCATCGGATCGGAATGTGTATATTGATAACGATCAGTCAACTGCAGAAAACCTCAGTGATGTACTTGGGGAGTTGAAGATTGACGAGAGTGGGATTGGTATGGCATCATTACCCGTTCTACGGATTTCCCCGCTAACACTCTACCTTCGATAGCCCCATACATTAGAAGGCAACGCACCGATCGAATTGAGCCCGACGCCCCTGTCCAAGACGACGTTGAAGAGCAATTTCCACCTCTCAGAACGGGATCGGGCGTGACGATTCGAATTCCCCCTGAGCTCATGCCTGCCGAAGACGACGTTATGGCTTATTTCAAGATCTACTTTGATGAAATACATCCCTATGTTCCTGTCGTATCTCGTGCCCATCTGTACTATCAATGGCAGCATGATCGCCATTCCATCTCTCCTCTCCTTCTCGAGGCCCTTTTTGCCTGCGCGGGCCGTTTATCTGATGAACCTGCAGAAGGCGCTCAGTGGCTTGCTTTGGCTAACCGTGAGTCGATACTTGATATTCGTCCAGCCATCTTCAAAAGACTGACGTTTCATAGGGCACGAGACTAGCTTCATGGATGTACCACGTCTGAGTACTATCCAAGCATTAATTCTGCTACTAAAAGCAAGGGAATCTTTGCCGAAGAAAGGATACTATTATCGATCCTGGCAGACTGTTAAGACGATTGTCTCAATGGCGAAAGATTTGGACATTCATGAACATTACAGCAATCACGCCGATGGCAAGCCCTGTGAACTCGGTCCAATTGAATGCTTGGTGCACACCAGAGTGTGGCAGGCTCTTTTGGTGGTTGAGGTGATGATCGGTGGGCCCCAAGGTAAGTCTACTCCGTCGCATCATTTATTAAATCAACCAGCTTCTGATCAAAGTAGGCCGTTCGGATTACGGTGTCGATCCTGAGACGGTAGACATGCGTCCGACGCTAGACATCAGAGGTCTCGATCATTATGAGATCGACCGCTCAAGACAATACGCCTATTTCGTTCGCAACGCACATCACATCCGCATCATTACAGATATCTATCACAAAGTTAAGAAGCAAAAGGACTGGGGCGCAGATGCCCGATTCGTACAAATCAACCCGCTTTTCGCAGAATGGCTTCGTAACCTTCCTCCAGACCTGCAGGTCAATTATCCTGCCGATGGCTCCCCACCGTGGCTTCCATCTCATTTTGTGGGCAATATGCATTCCCATTGCCATCTCGCCATTATTATGTTACATCGCCCTCAACTCTTCGCTTCTCAATCTTTTGCAGCCGGTGGTGAATGGAAGACCCATATGTCACTGTGCTACTCCTCGGCAAAAAGCCTCTGTCGACTACAAGAAGCCATCTTGCAAAGATTCGGGCTATCTGGCCTACTTTACATGCAAAGAGGCATCAATTTTGCCATATATTGTATCCTGACTTGTACGATGCTGCACCTGGTAAGCATTCAACAATTTATGGGACTTTCTTCTTTTTTTTCATAGCAAAACCATTCTAATGCGAGCAGGTTGCAATTACCTCCCCCGACCCTGAGTTCAATTCAGATGCCCGTGAATTCTTCACCCGTCATATGAGAATTCTGGAGACGTGCTCTACAGCCTGGCCCATGCCTGAGATTCAAGCTCAAATCGATTCATTGAGGCTGGCTTTCTCCGCCGACATGCATCGTTCTTTCGAGTTGAAGCCCAGTTTCCCATACGGGAGTCCTTCGGAACCCTACCATCCCAGTCCACCTATGGATGCACACTATCATCCGCACTTGAGTCAACTCCAATCTAGAGTGCGTTACAATCCGCTTCCGGTAACCCCTCCGATCTCGACTGATGCTGAAGACTCGAAGTCCGACACATCTTCTCAGATACAATCCCTCGGAATGGTTGCCCATCAGCCTCAAACAACTCATCCTCTAGATGCCCCGTCGGTCGATGAAGACCACTGGGATCCGACCCGAATTATCACGTACGTAAATGATTCACCTTCTGCTTGGTCTCTTACTAATCCTTCGCTCTAGTCAATGGGATATGGCCTTCTCCGTGAACCCCTCTACCGTCAGCGCAAACTCCCCGCCAATGGCTATAAACAATTCAGTGCCGGGTGTACAAAATGTTATGAACTCCCAATACCCCATCCAGTACGAGACACCTAACAAAGTGCCCTCTGTCACGTCTACCCAGTCTCTCTCGCCTCCCCAGTTCCAGGTACCCCCTGTTGTGTTTTCAGCGCGAGACTGGCAACAAAGTGTTGCTAGTGTGTATGATCCACAAGGGCTGAAACGCCGGTGGAATTACCCAGTTGATGTTACCTCCGACAATATGTCCAAGCGCCAAAGAGGATAAGACGCACATATACCCAAATCATCTACGACCTTGTTTTTCTCCCATTCAGTCGCCAGATTTTACCTCCTTTTGGCCTGCGGGTTCTTGTTTAGGTATCCCAGGCAACCATTGCTATTATCACTCTATATCCCTATTTTCTTTTTTTGTGCGATCTTGCCCTGTTTTTCTTTTTACGTCACAAGCGCCAAAGGGACATAAGCATGGCTCAATGAGGAAAAGTTTGAGGTAGACACGTCCAACCATCATGGTATCTCACCGGCTAGGATAGTAGTTGATGCATGAACCCTGCTATACATCATCAGCTTACATGAATTGGTCTATTTAGTAGACTACATTTAGAAAATAATTGATACCCGTGGAAAAGACACTATTCAGATTGGGCGGAGGAGTGGTAAAATAGTCTTGTTCTATACGAGATGGATTCCCGGGTCATCCTCGCTCGTCAATATTTTTGATGCTCTGTGTCTATTTTCAAGCTAAAGCCTCTGATCAGAACAAACATATCTCGAAATAGGCCAAAAGAGAGAGGTCACTTAGAGCATTGGTCATTTCCAAGATGCCCGATGGAGGTGATCTGGATGAACAAAGTAGTATGCATTGTGCTGTTTTATTAAGAAGATATTCCAATGTACCATTCCGCTTCTCCCGTGTTAAACCAACGTCCTAGCCAATAGGTAACCATAGGGGAAATGGTGAGATATGCTGGGATATTTAGATTGATAGAGGAATGCCGTGATCTGATGCTCAAAAAAAAAACCACGCTCTATGACTGCTCGATCACTCTCTGTCATACGCTTTCATACAAGCAAGATGGTGTGTGATGTATGAGACTGTCATATTCTCAACGCCAAAGATCCTGCACTATTTGTTTCTTGTTAATGGTGAATGATGTGACGAAAAGAGATATTCAAGTGTTTCAAAGGGCAAGAAATATATGCAAGCATATCAAAATTGGGTTATGTACCTCATATCCAAATGTCGAACAAGTCCTTCCAACATGCAATGGTGGTCTAGGGGTTCGAGATCGTGGTGTAGACAGTCAACCACGTCGACTAATGCCTATTCTTTCTTCACGGGTCCGGACAATCCTAGCCTTGTCACCTGGAAGTGGTTTCAGCTCATCACTGGGGTCGATGTTGACATTGGAGGTTGCCTTTGCGTGCTGTTCTGGGTGTTTGTTTTCTTCAGACAGTTTGCGAAGTCTAGCTTCTTCAAAGGCAGCAATGTCCTCAGAAGTAATAGCAATAGCTGTTGGCTTTCGACGAAGCATTTTGACAGTCGAAAGGTATTGCAATGAATCAAAGGAAGACTTGGCTGCGTTTACTTGGAGCGGGCAGGAAGGCGGTGCCTCACGTGACTGCAATTCTTCGTTCAATCTTTCCGCGTCTCTTTACCAAAACGTTCTAGGGACACGACCTAGTTCATTCAGAATACAACCATGTTTCGGCCACAGCTGAGGCAGATCTCGCTGCACTGTGAACGGACAAAACTCGGTCTTTCTACACCTGCTCGCCAGTTCTCCTGTACTCGTACAGTGGCCGCCGAAGATCGAGCCCAGCCATCCGGTAGGTACATCCAAGGGAAGCCGGCATTGGGCAAAATAAATGCAGTGGCGCAACTATTTCGGCCATTTGGAGTTTGAATTCTAACATAAGCCCATTAGACAACCGTAAACCCAATCCCCGCTCTTCATCGGCCACACTTTCCTACCGGCCTCGCAATCCCAATGGCCCGCCAGCTCGCACCAACCAGTATCAAACTCGTCCTCCTCGAGTGATTGACGCTAGATCTTTTGCAGCGGCACGAGCTAGCGGTGGAGAGCAACCTAAGATTATCCGCAGCCCGAGATCACGCGACATTCGAGGCGGCAATCAACCTCAAAATCGCAAACCTAAACCCTTCGCCAAAGGCGCCAAGGGTAACCGAAACGGGCCGCGCAGGAACGCAAAAACCCCCGAGAATGACGACGGCGAAGATGGCGAAGCGGCGGCTATTGATCAAATTCTTCAAGAGCAAATCATCAGATCCAGGCCAACGCCTATTCGTTATGAGCCTCAGGAGATCAGCTACTCTACTTTGAAAGAGACATGGCCTTCAATTCCTACAGACGTGAACTCGCGCTCGGCTGCCGTCTACGAAAAGCTTTCCAGCCTGGGCGGCCGCATTGCCAACGGCTATATCCCGCCCTATGAGCTTGGAAGGCGCCTGTGGAAGGGCCAGAGCGTTCTTTTCAACAATGAGAATGAGAAGGCGGAGGCTTTGGAAGAGACCAAGCGATTGGCTCAGCTTCGTGCCGATCGAATTTCACAGCGCAAGGGTGACCTTGTGGAGCCACGGAATGTCGAGTTTAGTCCCATCGACGCAGAAAGCACCAAGTCTCTCATGGAAACGTTCGTTCAGGGAAACTACCCCACGTCTGAAGTCGGGAAAGATGGGCATGCCGTATTGGGAGAGGTGTTGAAGAACCTCCGGAACAACGGGACCTACCAGACAACCGGGAAGACCTCACAGTTCATGGCCAAAATTGAATCTCTTGTTTCTGCTGGCCGCAAGACCAAGAGTGTCTGAGGATATGTGAACTAAGTGCTAGAAGTGATTTGTATTATATTTATTTCGTTGATCGGGTTTTCCTCTGTTCTTTCCATATCCTCCCCATATCTTCCCCAATTATGCCTCTGTCTGTACCTAGATTTACAAAGTCTTTTTTACAATCGGCCATTGCCATGCCATAGGCTATGATTCTCATAATTTTCCTGGCTTAGGCCTGTTCCAATGTCTTCTTGGCACCTTCGAATGCATCCTTCGCCTCCTTTTGACCTTGGTCTGTAATCTTCTCCATCTGATCGTGAGCTTTGCGCACGTCATCTGGCCGAGCTAATTTCTTCTTCTGCATATCCTGAAGACGTTTATGCATGGCACCTCTAGAGTCACGTACTAAACCGGCAGCCTTTTCGAATGCTTGCTTGGCGGCTTGAACGTTCTTGTCCCGAGATTCTTTTGTAGGTGGCGGAATAGGAATGTTGAGCTGGAGGGCGTTGTGAGGATCGGGCTGAGGGGTCAAGGAGAGGTTTGAGGAGACGATCGCTGAAGTAAGAGGTTTCAAGTGCTGCTCGAAATGTATTAGAGTTGGCTCGTTGGGACAGCAATAGCAGGCTCACGCCCTAACAAGGCATCATGAACTTACATCCTCCTCGGCTGCCAAAAGAGTAATCATGCGTCCACCCTTCGGCACAACCTGCACCAGATCTCCCAATTTGACCGAATCTTTGCTGTCTTTGCTCAGATGGACCCTCAAACTCTCTAGGACTGCGGTATTGAACCGCCCTCCTGCGCGAAGCTTGGACAGATCATCTTTTAGCCGAGCAACAGCCGTGGAGATGCCATTGTGCAATTGGGAAAGATCAAAGGGATCTTCAGAAGGAGCACTGGAGGTTTCCTCTGGCTCAGAAGCGGAAGCGGAAGCTTTCTTGGCCTTGTCCTTTTTCTTGTACAAGGCAGGCGAGTTGGCAAACTCACGCCGGTTCAGAGGAACGGCGCGCTGGGCTCGGGGTAGAAGACATAAAAATCGAGTCGTTTGAGGGTGTTCAACAAGACGAGGACAAGAGAAGCGAATTGATTGGGCTATAATACGTTGCATGGTGGAAGCGATTGTTGTAAAAAGTTCCAGGGCGGAGGTGCGCAGTCCAGAAGTATCTCTCTCACGTTACCCCCGCGCTTCCGCCTCGAGGCCAAAAAATCATACACTATATTACCATGTAGAACTACCCAGTATTCCAAGTATTACAATGAGAGGAGATCATCACAATGTCATTAAATTGCAGATGGCGAACTTCGTCTACAAAAAACAAATCAAATCATACTTTTCAAGAAAAGAAAACTGCGCCCAAGTTGCCCGGCTTCATAAACAAAGCGCGACAGAGACCAACCCTGCCCAAGGTCTACATGGCGCAGATTCCCTGAGAAGCAGAGTCCCGGGAAAGAGGAAAAATTCGTTGGCCATAAGTCTATGTTCATGTCTTCCCATGTATGCATTTACCGTGTGGCCATGGCCTTGGTAATCAGACGCTTAAGAGCAAGCTCCTTCTTCTTGAGGTCCTCGGGGGTGGAGTCCTCAACCTCGAGCTGGGCCATGGCGTCGCTGAGAGCGGACTCAATGCGCTCCTTGTTGCCGCGCTTGAGCTTCATGGACATACCGGGGTCAGAGACAATCTCCTCGACACGGGAGATGTAAGACTCGAGCTGCTGGCGAGACTCGAAGCGCTTGGTGAAAGCCTCATCGCTGGTCTTGAACTTGGCAGCGTCTACAGATTGTCAAGTCAGCATATAGTCAAAAATATTAGTGTTAGTGGGAGAAACATACCGTCAACCATCTGGTCGATCTCGGAGCTGGAAAGCTTGCCAACAGCGTTGGAGATAGTGATGTTGGCAGTGCGGCCAGAGGTCTTCTCAGTGGCGGTGACCTTCAGGATACCGTTGACGTCAACCTCGAAGACACACTCGAGAGCGGCCTCACCGGCGCGCATGGGAGGAAGGGGAGCAAGAGTGAACTCTCCCAGGGAGGTGTTGTCAGCACAGTTGGTACGCTCACCCTGGTAGACGGGGAACTGGACAGTGCTCTGGTTATCGACAACAGTGGTGAAGGTGCGCTTCTTGATAGTGGGGACAGTCTGGCCACGGTTGACAACGGGGGCGAAAATGTTGCCCTCCATGGCAACACCAAGGGAAAGAGGAACAACGTCAAGAAGGAGCAGGTCAGCGGTCTCAGCCGAGGTGGCCTTGCCGGAGAGGATACCGGCCTGAACGGCAGCACCGTAGGCAACAGCCTCATCGGGGTTGATGCTCTATAGAAAAAAAAAGATAAGTAACTGGCTTTGACGTTAGATCAAGTAGTGCTGTCTTGTCTTACCTTCTCGAGCTTCTTGCCATCGAAGAAGTCGCTCAGGAGCTTCTGGATACGAGGAATACGGGTGGAGCCACCAACAAGGACGATCTCGTCAACCTTGTTCTTAGGCATGCCAGAATCCTTAAGGACCTGCTGGACGGGCTCGAGGGTTCCAGAGAAAGCCTTGGCGTTAAGGTCCTCGAAACGGGCACGAGTGATGGAGGAGTTGAGGTCCTCACCGTCGAAGAGAGAGTCAATCTCGACGGTGGTCTGGGTAGCGTTGGACAGGGTACGCTTAGCACGCTCGCAAGCAGTGCGGAGACGACGGAGAGCACGTGCATCACCGGAGAGATCCTTGCCAGTCTTACGCTGGAACTCCTTCTTGAAGTGATCAAGGAGGTTAGTATCGAAATCCTGACCACCAAGGTGAGTGTCACCAGCGGTAGCCTTAACAGTGAAGACACCACCCTGGATGTTCAACAGGGAGACATCGAAGGTACCACCACCGAGATCGTAGATGAGGACGTTGCGCTCCTTCTCAGACTTGCCGGCGCCGAGACCGTAGGCGATAGCGGCAGCAGTAGGCTCGTTGATAATACGGAGAACGTTCAGGCCAGCGATGGCACCGGCATCCTTGGTAGCCTGACGCTGGTTGTCGTTGAAGTAGGCTGGCACGGTGATGACAGCCTTCTCAACCTTCTTGCCGAGCTTGATCTCAGCGACCTCTTTCATCTGGCCCAAATAGTCAGCAAACAAATCCAACAAATCTGAGATATACATTTCGCCATACCTTCATGAGGACCATGGAGGAGATCTCCTGGGGAGAGAAGGTCTTGGTCTCGTTAAGGTACTCAACCTGGACAACGGGGTTGCCACCCTGGTCGATGACCTTGAAGGGCCAGGACTCAACATCCTTCTTGACAATGGGGTCATCGAAGCGGCGACCGATCAGACGCCTGTTCCATTTGAGTCAGAACGAATTTGGAATTGTGGAGAATGCGCATATCGCGAATTGATAGGCTGCGCGAGAAATTTTTTCCTTTTCCCAACTCACTTGATATCGAAAACAGTGTTGGCAGGGTTCATGGCGGCCTGGTTCTTGGCGGCATCACCAATCAGACGCTCCTTGTCGGTGAAAGAGACGAAGGAGGGGGTAGTGTAGCTACCCTGGTCGTTGGCAACTGATCAAATAGTCAGTATTCGAGAGAAAGATCGAATATTTGGAGGGGGAAGCGTACTGATCTCGACATTGGTGCCCTCGTAGTTGGCAACACAAGAGTAGGTAGTGCCTAAAGAAAAAGAAAAAAGGCAATTAGCAGCTGTGCGGTCGAATTTAGTAGAGCAAAAACGTACCAAGGTCGATGCCGACGGCACCGTCGTAAACCTCAGAATCGGCCATTATGAAATTGTAGATGTGATTTTGAGGGAGGGATGGGAAGAGGGATGGTGGGGGAGAGAGGAAATTTTTTTTATCAAGCCGAGTGCATATTTAGTCGGAGCCACACAAAAAACCAGAAAATTTTTCGGGAGCGGTGAGTCACGTGAGTCCGGTTATGGTAAATTGCAGGGGATCGGTAATTTACATACGGGTATGCAATCTGATGAACTACTTGGATATGTACTCCGTAGAGTCCAGTACACCCATGTACTACGATGTAGATCACGTACATTTGTATGCCTAAAGGTACAAGTTTATACATTCCCTATCCCTAATTACTTTTAACTATCAATATCCATTGGATCATCGTATAAATCTTCCGTAACCTTGTTCTCTCTAGCTCGCGCTCGAGATTCAAGAATTGCCTTTCGAACATTATCCTTTTCCTTGGGAACCGTGAGGGAAGATGGTTCCGTATAAAGAACGAGTTCTTTCCCCGAGGGTTTCGAGTCGGATAGAACGGATTGAGGGACTGAGAGCACTTTCTCCGCGAATGGTGAAAACACCAAGCCAGGAGAGTCGGCTTCCATTAATTCTTGATCCAGGTTGTGAATGTAGGTCGTATGTTTGGTGTCGTCCAAGATCATTGCATCGTTTGAGGAGGATAGGTCTTGGTTACGTTGGTTATGTTGATTATGTTGGTCATATTGGTCAATGTGGTCATGGTGTTGGTCAGGCTGGATATGCTGGATATGTTGGATATGCCCCTTGGGTTTGGCCCGAGCGGAGATTGGCACCTTATTTTCTACAAATATGTTAACTTGACAACTTCCACAACTCTTTCAAGTTCAATTGCCTACCTATTCGGAGGTGTCCAAATCTCTTCGTTAACGGTTGCGCGCCGTCGGGGTCAGCTTCGGCCGGGCGCTTCTTCCCGTGATTTTCCTCACCCGCCATCCACACTTTCTATATCTCTCTCTCTCCTTCTCTTGCGAGTGTTTGGAAGTGTGGGGTTAATAATTAAAGAAGAAGAAAAGGAAAGAAAAGCGTTTGAACTTCTAAGTGCACAGATCCGGGGTCAAGTGCAACTCGTTGCTCGATGCGGGTTTCTGGGGTGGTGACGAACGGGGAACGGGCTTTGACTCATCTCTTTCGCAGAAATCAACCCAGAACATTCTTTCCTTGCTTTGTTCACTCCCTGTCAACCAAACATCCCACATTCGACAGGATGACTTCTCTCGGTCCAGAATGGACTGCTCAACGAGTCCGAGACACCTTTTTAGATTATTTTAAACAAAATGGCCATACATTCGGTGCGTTGAGCCCATTCTTCTTCTTTTTTTGCCTACCCCTCCACCCCCGCCAACGACATGGACTGACCTGAAGTTATTCTTGTATACAGTCCCTTCTTCCCCCGTCGCTCCTCTGTCAGATCCGACTCTTCTTTTCACCAATGCGGGAATGAACCAGTTCAAGTCCATCTTCCTGGGCACCGTTGACGCCTCGTCGGACTTTGGAAAGATGAAGCGCGCAACGAACTCGCAAAAGGTATTGGATAATTCACACTCACCAAAACATCCGATTTGGGACTGTTGCTGATACAACTGGATAGTGTCTCCGTGCCGGTGGAAAACATAACGTGGGTGTGCCTTGATAAACTTTAAGAGGGTCTTATGAGGGGCTTTGGGATGGTACACTGACTAACCTGACACAGGATCTGGATGATGTTGGCAAAGACAGCTATCACCATGTCAGTATAGAAACTCGCTTTCTATCATTCATCAGAAGAAGTGCTGACAAAGTCTCTAGACCTTCTTTGAGATGCTCGGCAACTGGAGTTTTGGCGACTACTTCAAGAAAGAAGCTATCACTTATTCGTGGACCCTGTTGACGGAAGTCTATGGGCTAGATCCCGATCGCCTCTACGTTACTTATTTTGAGGGCAATGAAGCTGGTGGATTGGAACCGGATCTGGAAGCCAAAGAAATATGGAAATCGGTGGGCGTTCCTGAATCTCACATTCTTCCTGGAGACATGAAAGACAACTTCTGGGAAATGGGTGACCAGGGCCCATGTGGACCTTGTAGTGAAGTGCACTATGATCGGATCGGTGGACGCAACGCTGCTCATCTCGTCAACGAAGACGACCCAAATGTGCTGGAAATCTGGAACAACGTCTTCATCCAATATAACCGCGAGCCGGATAGCTCCTTGAGACCCCTTCCCAACAAACATGTTGACACTGGAATGGGCTTCGAGCGACTGGTATCAATTCTCCAGGACAAACCTTCCAACTACGATACCGATGTCTTCACTCCTATATTCCAGGCTATCCAGAATGCCACTGGGGCCAGGGAATACCGCGGCCACTTTGGCG